TCTTGGCCTGAGGACACTGACCGCCCACTACTGGCAGGCACCAAGACCCTGCTTGGCAGCGTCGGACGCCGCACTCCTGTTAACCAGGCCACCGAGAGCGGAGAAGACCTAACTGAGGGGACAGATGGCTTCAGCTGGCCTCGAACTCCTAGGCATGACCCTGGCTGTGCTGGGCTGGCTGGGGACCCTGGTGTCCTGTGCCCTGCCCCTGTGGAAGGTGACCGCCTTCATCGGCAACAGCATTGTGGTGGCCCAGGTGATGTGGGAGGGGCTGTGGATGTCCTGCGTGGTGCAGAGCACAGGCCAGCTGCAGTGCAAGGTGTACGACTCGATGCTGGCGCTGCCCCAGGACCTGCAGGCCGCCCGCGCCCTCTGTGTCATCGCCCTCCTGCTCTCCCTGCTGGGTCTGCTGGTGGCCATCACGGGAGCCCAGTGCACCACCTGTGTGGAGGACGAAGTTGCAAAAGCCCGAATTGTGCTCACCGCGGGGGTCATCCTCGTCCTCTCAGGCATCCTGGTTCTCATCCCCATCTGCTGGACAGCCCACGCCATCATCCAGGACTTCTACAACCCCCTGGTGGCTGAGGCCCTCAAGCGGGAGCTGGGGGCTTCCCTCTACCTGGGCTGGGCAGCAGCTGCCCTGCTCATGCTGGGCGGGGGCCTCCTCTGCTGCACATGCCCCCCGCCCCAGATCGACCGGCCCAGGGGACCCAGGCTGGGCTACTCCATCCCCTCCCGCTCTGGCACCTCTGGAATGGACAAGAGGGACTATGTGTGAAGTGTCTCCAGAAGCCCACTGCTCAGAGCCTTGACTTTCGCTGGATGCCCTCTCCAACCCCTGCCTTCTACCCTCTACCCCTTCCCCACATGAAACCTACTTTCTAGGCGTTCCAGCCAGGTTTGGCTGCTGGGCTAGTCTCAGATGGCTTGGCTGAGCCCAGATCCTCCTCCATGGGGTCCCCACCTCCTGGCCACCCAACTCCCCCAACCAGTTGCTGTCTTCTGCTTCCTGGACCTACGTTGGCTCTCCTCCCCTTCCTGAGGCCTCCCCTGCCCCTGGAACCGGGGCCTCCCCCAAAGGGCCGTACTCCTTGGCTCAAACAAGGAGAGGATTATGCTCTGCTGGCCCTGGAGCCGGTCCCCTCCAGTCTGGCCACCACCCTCATTCAGAGACCCAGGCCAGGCCCTCTGGGAGAAGCCAATCTCCTCCAGGCCAGAAGGGCCCAACCCACTCCCTGCCCCCACCCGTTCCCAGAATAAAGAGTATTTGTACCTCTGCTGCCTTGACCTGTGATTGGGCAGGGAAGACCAGGTGGCCGGGCCGTCAGGCCAAGGTCTGCTCCAGGTCCTGCTGAGTGGGTAACCTCACTCAGGCCGTGCTAGGCAGGTGAGCAACAGAGGTGAGTCACTCATGTTCACCTTATTCCAGGCTGGAACTCAACAGCCTCCCAGCAACTCCAATGGCAAGTGACAAAACAAAACACTCTTTATTTAGTAAAAACTAGTGGGTGGGTGTGCCATGGCAGAAGTGTGCAGGGCCCGCAGATGAGAGGGTCAGGGGTCTACAGCGTGGTTGGGAAGCAACTCTGAGACAAGCATGGAAGAGCCAGAGGTCAGAATCCTTGGAGGTAAGTGGTTCTGGGTAACTTATCACCTGCTCTTCTCAAGGGTACTGAGGCTCGAGCTCCGGGTCACAGAGGCCTGACCGAGAAGGCGGGGCTCATCCCCGCAAGCCCTGCCCCACCAGAGCAGGAACTCTTGGGGACAGACTGTCAAAGCACCTGGTTGTCACAGAGTACCTGGCCAGCAAACAGCCCTCACCCAGGGATCACAGCTCCAGGCTGGCCTCCAAGGCGGGAATGTCCAAGGTGGAGAAAGACGGAGAAACTGAAGTGCTGCCCCCTTGGTCTCACCATCCAAAGTGAGAAACGCCAGCAGCAGAGCCCAGGTGAGACTGACTTTCTTCTTGGTTTGGTGTTTAACAAATGGCTTAAAAGAAAAATACCCCCTTGCCCAATTAAAAGGAAAAACCAGATAAAAGCAACCCAGAAACTGTCGTGCGTTCTGATGACTCCAGCTCAGGGGTTAAGCTCCATGGTCAAGGGAGCCCCCGTCCTCCTACCCATCAGACGTAATTCTTGGTGGGGTATTCAGAGGGCCCCTGAGAGATGGCTCGTGGGGCAGATGCTGAGTATCGGGCCAGGTAATGGCTGGAGCCCCGGGACCCCCCAGAGGGGCAGGTGTAGCACAGAAGCCCCCCACCCAGCAACAAAAGACCAGAAGCCGCCCAGCCCAGGTAGAGGGAGGCCCCCAGCTCCCGCTTTTGGGGCTCTGCCACGAGGGGGTTGTAGAAGTCCTGGATGATGGCATGGGCCGTCCAGCAGATGGGGATCAGGGTCAGGACCCCTGAGATGACAAAGATGATCCCAGAGGTGAGCACCAGACGGGCCTTGGAGTCCTTGTCCTCCACACAGGTGGTACACTTGGCCCCACCGAGGTAGATCAGCAGACCCAGCAGGGTGATGAGGAGGGTGATGATGCAGAGGGCTCGGGCAGCCTGCAGGTCCTGGGGCAGCGCCAGCATCGAGTCGTACACCTTGCACTGCATCTGGCCTGTGCTCTGCACCACGCAGGACATCCACAGCCCCTCCCACATCACCTGGGCCACCACAATGCTGTTGCCGATGAAGGCGGTCACCTTCCACAGGGGCAGGGCGCAGGACACTAGAGCATTCACCCAGCCCAGCAACGTCAGGACGATCCCCAGGATTTGCAGACCAGCAGAGGCCATGATGAGGTTGAGGTTGAAAGGAGCTGCCCTGGGGACAGAGCAGAGTAATATTAAGACCAGCTGGCCAAGGTCCCTCATCTCCAACGAGTGCTAATCCCCATGGCCGATGCCATGGCCACACAGAACACCAGGAGTATAAACCTTGGGAGTTGGGGTGCCATGTCTTGCCCGAGCCTCATTTTCTCATGGGCAAAATGAGCATGAATGCCTTAGCATATATTTCTTTCCCCCTAGTTATGTGACAGTCTGTTTTGAGTACAAAGGGAAGGTAATATAAAGCCTAAGCCAGCGCTAGTCCCTGGCCTCAGCCACTATGGGTACATTTGATCAAACAGCAAAGTGACAAAAGAGGATGGAGTGACAGCGAAGTTTGCAGGTGCTTCCACAGAGCGCACAGATGGGAGGTTGGCTCTAGCTATTGAGTTTCAATCTCAAAGCCATCAAGATTAGCGATCCAACCTCCTTCCCACCACCAACGGGAGAGTCCAGACCCCTCACCCCAACATGGTTCGGTTCCTCAGGCAGGTGGCTACCAGTTTGATCTTAAAGATCTTCTGTGCTGTGTGGCCCACCATCCCCACCTGGCCTGCCCCAGCACAGCCTCCTTCCCTAAGGCCACTGGCTGTCTCCCTGGGTCCCACTCGCCTGCCCTCCCTTTGGGGCCCTAGAGCATACTGCCAAGGTCGGGGACATTTTTCTTGTGTATTCTTTCCCATAATGCCATCCTCTCAAGACACAACTTCTTGAAAAGGAGCTGAAATCCTTGGGGTCTATCCAGTGAACCAGCTCCTCTACAGCAGCCCCTCTGCCTGTCTCCCCTCACATCTCATTTCATGTTGGAGGACTCCATCCAGATCAGTTCTGTGTAGGTGTTTGTGACGGCTCTCCATTGCCCAAAGGTTCCGGGCCACGGCCTGGACCTAAACCTAGCACCAGCCCAGCAGTGTGACCAGAGAGCAGACTCTCCACTCACTTTTATTTGCACCCGCTAGGCCGGAGCTGAAGACCTGGGCGGGGGAGGCCGGATGGGGTGGGCCAGCCCTTCTCCATCCCAGTCCCGGGTCTACCCCTCCAGGCGTCTGGCCGAGGTAAAGCCGCGGCCCCTCCAGCCTAGGCACCTCGCGCTTCTCCCCTGCCCTCCACTCCGTCCCCTTCCCACAAACTATCGGCTCGATTCTGTCCGAGGACGCTCCTTACCGCTCCCGATCCCCCCTTCGGAGTCCCGCCCACAAGCGGGTGTCCTCAGTCCCCCATCTTCCCGGGGGCAGCGCGCGCGCGGGGTGGTTTAAAGGCGGCGCGGGCCTAGGGTCGGCTCCCGCAGGTGAGGGGGAGGGGCGACCGACCCGGCGCGCATGCAGGTGGGGGAAGGGCGCCCGGGTGTCGGGGCCTTTGTCCCAGGGGAAGAGAGGAGGGGCGTTTAGCCAGTTCGAGCCGCCAAAGGACCCGATCTGCCCCCGCCGGGGACTCGGCAGAAGGTCAGCCCAGTTCTCCATGCTGCCCGCACCCTGCACCCCGTTCCTCGAGGCACCCATCTCCTCCCCAGCACGCGCACTGCCCCGAGGCTCACCTGAGCAGGTGGGGCTCTGCCGAGATCCGAAAGAGCCGCGAGTGCGGGGACGGGGCGGAGCGGGGGTCTTAAAGAGGCAGTGACGTCACCGGACCACCGCCCCGGGGAGGGGCAGAGACCACTGCGTCCCGCGGATTCCGACTTGGTCGGTCCCGGGCGCTTGAGACGCGCTGCAGCGCCCGCATCTGGCCGGGGTGAGGGGACATCAGCGACTGACGGGGGCCCGCAGTGAGTCAGGGCGCAGGCCGGGGAGCCAAACGGACCTCGGGCCTCGGCTCCTCCACCTTCCCGAGCCTCAGTTTCACACTCTGCAAAATGGAGACAAGCCCACACTTTACTAGGTGACTGTGTCCTAAGGTAAACATCAGAGGACACACCGTCATTTTTATGCTGCCCTCCGCGCTGGGAGGGATGGTTTCAAGTCTGCCCTCCGCCCCCTCCCCCGACACGCACACACCTCCCGGACCTGGGACCCGAGGGCAGCCCGGACTGTCGCGGCGAGGTGCCCGCAGCCCGCGCGTGCAGGCGGGTGAGACCTACGGGCTGAGCTAGCGGGCCGGGCGGGGCGGGGACCGGGGGCGGGCCGCTGGGCCGGAGGCGTGGGGTCCGCCCCGGAAGGCGGGGGCGGGGACCGGGCTGAGGTTGTCTGTCCCGGCGACTAGCGGCGGGCTCAGACCGTAGTGGTCGCGGGACGCGCACGATGGCTCTGGCCCTGCTGCGCCCTCTGCCGCGGCTGCTGGTGCTGGGGCTCGGGCTGGCGCTGCTGTGCGCGGCGGCCGGGGAGCCGGTGTCAGGTACGCCGGGCGCCGAGCTGGGGCTGGGCGGGAGGCGGGAGGGCGTGAGGACCGGGGAACCCCGGACTGGGATGCGGGAGCCGGTTTGGGGGAGCTAGAGGAGGGGGCAGAACTGGGGGGTGCATGGGATCGGGGGTCAGGCAGTTCCCAGACACCGCGCTCCCTGGCCAGGGGAGGTCCCGTCTCGCTCCGAGCTTCCTTCCCAGTCCTGGCCTCAGTTTCCTGCCGGTCCCACTCGGACTCGGAAGTGGAGAAAGTTTGAAGGCGGGATGTCTCATCCGGTGAGGGGGCAGGCCTCCAGCCTGGTCAGTACCGGGCCTGCCCAGCCCCAGGGACCGGAGTCGGGGTGGGGTGTCGAGAGGCACGGGGGTCTGTGTCCCCCATACCATGTGGGGTGCTCCCTTCCATCCGGTGACTTCAGTGCCCAGCTATGCGGGGGGGGGAGGGACCGGGGTCGGGCCCGGTGCCCAGGAATGAGTCACTCGCCGGCGGCGGCGGCGGTGAGGAGGGACCTGACCCCCCCAGCCTCCTGCCCGCCGGCTCCCCCACCCCGCGCTGCCGTATCCCGGTCGGGCGGTGCGGTCACCTGTGAGGAATGCGCGAAGAGGGCGCCGGTGACTCACGTTATACGAGCCGCCGACCCAGACCTCGGCCCCCAGAATAGCCGCGCCCCGCCCCCAGCCTCTGATCCCCTTCCCCAGGCACCACTCCCTGCTCCCGCGGCAGCTCCTGGAGCGAGGACCTCGACAAGTGCATGAACTGCGAGTCATGTCCAGCCCTACCGCACAGCGACTTCTGCCGGGGATGTGAGTGGGGGCGGGGCCAGAGGCGAGCGGACCCCAGCATAGGGGAGTTGCTGGGGTAGAGAGGGGAGCAGGTGGCTTTAGATCGGGGGTGGGGAGGGGGGGGGGGATTAGGTGGGAGGCGAATGGGGCAGGGGCGCCAATCTGGGTAGGGGAAAGACTTGAGGCTCAGCTCTAGGGGGTGGGGCTGGTCGGGAGGGGTGAGGTCTGACTTTGAGTCCTGCCTGCAGGTGCTGGGGCTCCTTCAGCCTCCTTTGGGCTGTTGTGGCCCATCTTGGGGGGCGCCTTGAGCCTAGCCCTTGTGCTGGGGCTGCTTTCTGGCTTCCTGGTCTGGAGACGGTGCCGAAGGAGAGAGAAGTTTACCAGTAAGTGTGCCCGTCCCCCTGGCCCCGCCGTCACTCCTCAGCATGTCCCCAGCTCTTGATGACCCCTCTTCTTATTTTGCAGCCCCCATCGAGGAGACCGGCGGGGAGGGCTGTCCTGGCGCAGCGCTGATCCAGTGACCACGAGCTTTCCTGGTCATCGGGAAACTGTGCCCACCCGCCATTCATTCATTCATTCATTGTGGAGCCAGCCCCTGCCTCCCAGACAACTAGAGCCATGCTACTCCCATCACAGGGGTGTGCAGGGGGGGGACGACAGGTGAATCACTTATCTGAGGCCTGGATCCAGGCTTCAGAGGAACCTTCCAAGGTATCTGACTGCGCTGTCTCTGGCTCCGGGACAGAAAAGGAGACCCAGGCTGGCTCACACCAGATGGCTGACACTAGGAACTGCAACATTTGCACAAAGGCCCCCTATCCCCATGGCCTGGGGGTCAGGCTGAAGTGAGGCACAGACAGAACACTAGGTCCCACCCACTGCTATGTGCTGAAATCCCAGCACTGGGGTCTTAGCCTGGGGGGTTAGGGATCTGTTCCTAACACTAGGGGGCTGGCCCTCTAGGGGGGGCTGGCCTTGAGACACTGCCCCCACCAACCCTCAAAGGAGGGGAGATATTTATTTTGGGTAGAAAGTTTGGAGGGGCAGGAGAATTTATTAATAAAAGAATCTTTAACTTTAAATGGATTGGAGAGTGGCATGATTCCCCAGCCTGAGCTGGAGGGAGGAGTGAGTCAGCCTCGGGGGCGGGGGTGAGGCTCTGACTCACACATTCTCAATGCCTGAGCCCAGCCTGCCAGGACCTGGGCAGACCCTGACCGCTTTCCGGGGAAGATCTTGAGGAGAAACTGAAGCATCTTGTGCCCCAGTCTTGCCCTCTTCCCAAAGGCCCCAGGTTCCAGACTGAAGCCATCATCTGCTCAGCGATGTTTATTCATTTCTTCTGGGGGGACGGGGGGATGGGGGAGAATGCCTCCGTTTTCATGCTACTGTCCCTCCTACCCCAGGCTCTGTCTTTCTCTGTTGGGGGAAGGTCTTGATGCTCACAGGCCTGGTCTGGAGGAAAAGCAGGGCAGCTGTTCCCTTCATGAGGGTGTTGATCTCCCCGGTTGTGGGGGAGAAGCAGCGTGGGCAGGTACACGGTCTGCCGGCCCTCAGGGCTCCATTATTTCCCCAGCTGGGGTTGCAGGGTAGTGGGAGGCAGGGGTGTCCCCCAGCCTCAGCAGCCTCAGAGCCTCAGGGATCAGGTTTCCAGGGTAGCGCCAGAGAAGCAGTTCAGAGCAAGGGCTCCTGGAAGAGGAAGTGACAGCGAGGGCATAGGGCTGAGGGTGGCCTGGCAGAGGCGCCTCCTACCAGGTTCAGGTCCCCAGGGGCTCCTGGGCTGCCTCTGCCTTCTAAGGAGCCAAGAGGAGGAGAAAGGACAGAGGTTGGCTAGAAGCTAAAAATAGCAGGATGAGGCAAGGCCTGGAGGCTGGCTCCCAGGAGGTGTGATCCTCCAGAAGGCCCGGTCAGCAGATAGCGGACAGTGGATGGTGCTTACCTGAGTCGGGGCAGAGCTGGGGAGAATGCCAGGGGGGGGCTGCAGTAAGGGTGGTCATTATGCAGGCTGAGCTGAGAGAAGTGGGTGGCCATATTCTCCTCGGACAGGAACTGCTTGCGCTGGGGCTCCCTGGGGAGAGACCAGGAGGCAGGTAGGCTGGGCTATGCGGAGGGGAGGCAGGCTGATGGGGACCTGAGTTGCCAGAGGTCTTGTTGGGAGTGCCTCCCTGTCCCCAGACTCACTGCTCCTCCTTCAGGCGCCGTTTGGTGCTCAGGGGCACAGCTCCTCGGAGAGGGGAGCTAGGGAGAAAAGAGAGCCAGGTGCACCCCACCCTCTTGGCCCCATGCCAGGATCTGCCAGCCTGAGCCAGGAACGTCTGCCAGGAATCCCCCAGCCCATGTCTCAGCTGACGCCTAAGTCACCCCCACTCTCTGGAAGTCTCCAAACCTGACTCAGCTCCTGCCCAAGTCCTGCTGATTTGCCCCACTGTGTGTCATCTTGCAGACGAGCCCTGAGCCCCCCGCCAAAGCTCTTGCGCCCCTGGGCGAGGCCCACCTGGGGCCCCCCATACACACCTCGCGTCCAGGCTTCGAGGCAGCCCCGAGTCGCGTTGGGCCCGACTCGGGGAGCCACGCTCCAGGGGCTGCTGAAGGATCATTGGAGTTCGGGGTCCTGGGGCAGAGGGTGGGATGCGGGCGGCAGAGGCGGAGCTCCGGGGGCGTGGCCACACGCGGGAGGCGTGGCTTTAGGCGCTCTCAGCAGCGAGATTCCGCGCGGCGCGGAAGACGGGTGGCGCGCGGCTGGAAGGCGGGTCTGCTCGGCGGGGTGGGGGAGGGGATCTGGCGTAGCGGGGCGGCGGTGGGCGCCTCTTAGTGTCGGGGACCCGGGAGGTCTTCGCGGCGTTCACCTCTGCTCCTGGGGCTCCGGTGGCACGCGGCGACCGCCTGCCGGCCGAGCCTGCCGGCGGTACTGGGCCAGTGGGACGCCGGGAAGGTAAACCGCTCCAGAACACGTCCGGACCCGGGAGGCTGTGTCGCGCGGAGCACTCTGGGATTTGTAGTTCTCGAGATGGAGCGAGCTGTGCCGCCCACGGTGCCTCTGGGTCAGGTGAGGCGGACATGATGCGCGGTGCATTCTGGGGTTTGTAGTCTATGCCCAGTTCAGAAGGGGAGAGCAAGGAGTCCTTCCCTGAACCGTTTTCCTTTTAAAAAAAACTATTTTGCTTAAAGTACTGTCATGAGGAATATAGAAAGGACTCGTAGAACTCAACAAGACAACCCAATTTTATTGTTGTTGTTCATCCTCACACGAGGATATTTTTTCCATAGATTAGAGAGAGTGGAAGGGGGTAAGGAGGGTGGGCGCAGAGAGAGAAACAGACACCCATGCGAGAGAGACACATCAATTGGTTGCCTCCCGCAGGGGCCCCAACCCGGCGGGGGATGGAACCTGTAACCCAGGCATGTCCCCTTGATCAGGAATTGAACCCCGGACCCTTTAGTCCGCAGGCCGACGCTCTAACCACTGAACACACTGGCAGGGCAAGTTTTAAAATTTTGTCTTTATTGTTGAACGTATTCCAGATGTCCCCTTTTTCTCCCCATTGACCCCCTCCACCCTGCACCTGCTCACCTTCCCCAGGCCTTCACTGTACTGTTGTCCTGAACCCTGTTTTGCGGGGGCTGGTGGTAGGACTTGGACTCTGACCCCTGGGCAGAAGAGTAAGCCAGAAATACCTTGTGGGCCTAACATGAAAGCCAGAGGGTAGGGCTTAGGAAGTAGTATGTTATTCTTTATTGGGGTAATGGAGCCACATTTTGTGCACTTTCAACAAGGCAACCCGTTGTGAAGCTCTTTATATACAGTAGCTCATGCAATCTTTTTTTTTTTAATATATATTTTATTGATTTTTAGAGAGGAAGGGAGAAGGAGAGAGAGATAGAAACATCAGTGATGAGAGAGAATCATTGATTGGCTGCCTCCTGCATGCCCCCCACCGGGAATCGAACCCGCAACCCAGGCATGTGCCCTTGGCCGGAATCGAACCTGTGACCCTTCAGTCCACAGGCCGACGCTGTATCCACTGAGCCAAACCAGCCAGGGCAGCTCATACAATCTTGACAGAATCTCCCCTGAGCTCCATTTAACAATTAAGGAAACTTGGAAGAGAGCCTGGGTGCTTGCTCAAGGTCCTTCTAGGCACCTTGCATCAACTCTCCCCTTCCTTCCTCACCCTCTTCTTGGAGCCACCCCTGGGACTTTATGGGCAGATGCCTGCTTAGGGGGCCTCAATGGAGGTCTGAGAAGTATGGGCAGCAGCTGAACTGGCGGTAGGGGGACCAGGAAGGAGTCTGCGGATTGGAGTTCCCAGACAGCTTCCGTCCGCCTCTCCCCACAGATGGAGGTGTTTCAGGCCCTGCAGCGGTTGCACATGACCATCTTCTCCCAGTGTTTTTCACCCTGCGGGAAGTTCCTGGCGGCTGGGAACAATTATGGGCAGATCGCCATCTTCAGGTACCCTGGCCTCTGCTCGCCAACACCCATTGGCTCTGGTATGTGGCCTTCCTAGGACTGATGCCCCCGCTTCCGACTCAGACACTCTCTCCCCTCCGCCTGCAGCTTGTCTGCTGCTTTGAGCTCCGAGGCCAAAGAGGAAAGTAAGAAGCCCATCGTGACCTTCCAAGGTGGGTGGCAGCCATTGAGTTTGGCCTCGGGGACCCCAAGGTGAAGGAGGGGAGCAGGATAGGGTCATTCAGGTTCTGCATTTCCATTTAGCCCACGATGGGCCTGTCTACAGCATGGTCTCCACTGACCGACATCTGTTCAGCGCTGGGGACGGGGAGGTGAAGGCCTGGCTTTGGGCAGAGATCCTCAAGAAGGTAAGGAGTGTGGAGCTGCGGGGCAGGGGCACTCGGGCACCCAGCCCCAGAGAGAACCTTTGAGGTCACCCAGTGCTTCTCTCCATGAAGGGCTGTAAGGAGCTATGGTGTCGTCAGCCCCCGTACAGGTAAGCCAGGGCCGCGTGGGCAGAGGGCACGTGAGGGTGCAGATGCTGCCTCAGCAGAGCTGACCCTGCTTTCTCTCCTCCAGGACCAGCCTGGAGGTGCCTGAGATCAACGCTTTGCTTCTCGTCCCCAAGGTCTGAGCCTTTTGTGACTAGGGCTCTACCCTGCCCTGTTTCTGGCCCAAACGAATACTTCCCCGATCCCTGTCCTTATTTGACCCTGACGGGTGACCCCACCCCATCTTCCCCCCTGCAGGAGAATTCCCTCATCTTGGCAGGGGGGGACTGCCAGCTGCATACGATGGACCTAGAGACGGGGACCTTCACGGTGAGAGGGCCCTGGAGCCGGGCGGGAGGGGGAGGCATTCTTTCCGGATCTCATTCTGACACTGCCCCTCTCCCTGCAGCGGGCCCTCCGGGGCCACACAGACTACATCCACTGCCTGGCGCTGAGGGACCGGAACCCTGAGGTGCTGTCTGGCGGCGAGGATGGGACTGTGAGGCTTTGGGGTAAGGGAGTGACTAGTTGGAGAGGAAGGTGGTGAAGAGGAAGGCTGGGGTGGGGTGAGTGGGGTACCTCTCATGGTTTTCCCTCACAGATCTGCGCATGGCCAAGGAGGTCCAGACAATTGAGGTCTACAAGCATGAGGTGAGGGCATGCCCCCCACACACCCTGTCCTCCCTTCCCCCTGGGCATCTCCTGTGCCTTGACCTCCTCCTCCCTTCCCCTCCTCCCTCCCAGGAGTGCTCCAGGCCCCACAATGGGCGCTGGATCGGATGCTTGGCAACCGACTCCGACTGGATGGTGAGCCAGGCAAAGTGCAAGATGGGTGGCAGCTCCGGGCCCTCCCAGCTGAGAGCCCGTGGCTTATGGTGTTGGGGGACCCTCACCTCTCCGCCAGGTTTGTGGAGGAGGCCCAGCACTCACCCTCTGGCACCTACGATCCTCCACACCCACCACCATCTTCCCCATGTGGGCACCACAGAAGCATGTCACCTTCTACCAGGACCTGGTGAGGCGCGCTGCCGTGACTTTACGACCCCTGCCTGGTTCCTGTCTCTTGGTTCCTGACCCTGAAACCCTCTGCCTGCTCTCCACAGATTCTGTCAGCTGGCCAGGGCCCCTGCGTCAACCAGTGGCAACTGAGTGGGGAACTGAAGGCCCAGGTGCCCGGTTCCTCCCCAGGGCTGCTCAGCCTCAGTCTGAACCAGCAGCCAGCAGCACCGGAGTGCAAGGTGGGTCCTGCAAGGAGCTGTGGGGTCCTGGGAGGCCAGGGGTGTGGGTAGCTCAGTGGCCCCCCTCTTGCCTCCAGGTGCTGACAGCTGCAGGCAACAGCTGCCGGGTGGATGTTTTCACCAATCTGGGCTATCGGGCCTTCTCCCTGTCCTTCTGACCTCCCGAAGCTGGTGGGGCCGGAGCAGGAGGACCTGGAAGAGGCCCTAAGCCCACCCTCTCAGGCAGGGAGAGGGCCTGGGGCCTCAGCGAGCAGGGGTCGGAACTGTTTTCATTTTACAAAATAAAATTTCAGGCTTTTCTTCCCTGTGCTTTCTTTTCAAGAATGAAGACTAAGTCGGTGAAATGAATTATATATTACTATCTGATCTGATACATAAATAACCACCCCCACCCCTTCCCCGGAGCTTGCCAGGGCCAGGGGGCCTGGTGCCCTGGTGCTTAGAAATGACCTATATAGATTCAAAAAATAGACAGCTCTGCCCCACCTGCCCCCCACCACCGACCTGGGGCCCCTGACCCTCAAAGCTGGGGCCTGCTCCCAGGGAGCCTCTGCCCAGCTTTCCTGGGTTGGGAGGGTACCAGCCCCCTTTGGAAGGCAATCTGGGCCCTGTCGCTCCGCTGCCCAGAAGAAAGTGAGCCAGAGATGGCAGGGCAGGCCCCCTGGACGGCCCTCAGGTCCTTCGGAAGAGGCTGCTGAAGAAGCCGCCGGCATGCCCAGGGCGCCCGCGCAGTGAGAAGCGCGGTGCTGGGCGACTTGGAGCGGACCCGGCCGCGCTCAGCTCCTTCTGGCGCTGGGAGCGCAGCTGCTGCCCGATCACCACTTGCATGTCGTCCTGCGGCGGGAGGTCAGCGGGGCGGGAGGAGCCGGTCAGCGCGCGGGCCCCGCCCCAAGCTCCGCCCCCTCGGGCCCCGCCCTTTACCTGCCAGGCCTCCAGCTCTTGCGTCAGCGCCACCTTCTGGCGGATGGTGCGAAGCAGCTCCCGGGAGAGGGAGTCCCGCTCCAGAGAGACGCGGCTGAGCTCCAGGGCCAGTTCCAGGGCCCTGCAAGCGGCAGGGGCAGAGAGCTAGTTAGAGGGCGAGCAGGGGAGCGGGGTGGACGGGGCCTCCTGGACCCGGCGGGAGTGGGACCCGTAACACCGAAACCAAGGAGGTCAGAGGGCCCCTGGGTCGGAGTGGGGACAATTAGAACCCATGTCCCCGGTGAGGCCTAGAAGGGCCGGAGTGCCCTGCTGGGGAGGTGGTGAATGGCGGAGGCAGGCTCACTTGTTCACAGCCGTTTCCCTGTCCGAGAGGGCGCAGTTCAGGGCCTCCTCGGGGTCCTCCTGTTCCCGCAGCTCCTTCTGCCTCTGCAGCTCCTCCCGCAGCAACTGGAGCTCTGCCCGCTGAAGCTCGATCTGCAGGCAGGGAAGGAGGCAGAGAGGCAAGTAGGCCTCCGGGTTTCCAAGCCCTTGTTCTCCTTGGCAGCCTGGGCGTCAGCTCTCCCACCGCCCTTCCCTTGCCTGCTCCACAAACACCCCAGGCAGCTGTGGGGCTGTGCAGACAGCTGTGCTGGAGATGAATCTTCTGAGCCCCCAGGCTGGTGTGGGGCTACGTGGATGGTATAAACCTGCAGGAAGGGTGCATGGAGAAGCATTGGGAGGTGGGACTAAGGGGGCAGTGCATCCAGGAAGTCATCCTGGAGGAGGTGGCAAACAGGCTGACCTTTTTTTTTAAAATACTCACCAAGTATATCCCCCCCCCCTTTTTTTAGGGAGGGAGGGAGAGGGGGAGAGAGAGAGAAACTTCAGTGTGAGCGAGATACATTGACTGGTTGCCTCCCATACCCATACTGATAGGGGCCAGGGATTGAACCTGCAACCCAGGAATGTGCCTTTGACCTGGAATCGAACCCACGACCTTTTAGTGCACAGGCCAGCGCTGTAATCACTGAGCAAAACTGGCCAGGGCCAGGCAGGCTCTTCAAGCATGACTGCAAGTTTGTTGGGATGAAGGATTATCCAGGTAGAGGGGCATTAGTGGAAAAAGGCTGAGTTATAGATGGAAAGAGAAACACATTGAGAAGGGCTCTACACCCAGCACTGTGTCCTCCTCCCCACCTCATCCTGCAGCTGGGCCACTTCCATCTCCTTTTCCTCCAGTATCTCTCCTGGGCTCAGGGACGCTCTCTTTATGGGAGGCTCCAAGCTCTCCTCCTGGGATGAAGGCTGTTGACTGGATGCCTCCTGGGTCTCCGGGGACAGAGTGGTCTGTTCACCAAAGGAATTAGTCAGTGAGGTGTTGAACCCCGTGGGAAAAGGAAGCGGGGTGGAGTCTGCAGCCCTCCTGGATGGCTGCGGGGCTTCAAGCTCACCTGGGCGTCTCTGTGTCCATCTGCGTTCTGGTTCTGGTTCTCTTCGCTGTCCAGACTGTGGGCCAGCTCTGACTGCAGCGAGGCCCCCGATGTGTCGGCATCCTGCAGGCGTGACTCCTCCTCCAGCTCCGAAACCCGCCGCTGCAGCCTCCGCAGGGTACTCAGTGCCTCCCTGGTCTCGGAGCGCGCGCATTCCAGCTGTGCACGCACCGATGGACAAGCGAAGGCGGTCAGCCAGGCGCACCCGCCAGGCATCCCGCGGCTGGCCCATAGAGGGCGCTGGCGTGCCGCGGAGGGCCAGGCAGCCCCGCGCGTCTGCGCATCCCAGCTATAGGTGCCTGCTCCCCCACTCCCGGGTCGCCAGGCGGCAATTGGGTGATGCACTTCCCCTTACCAATTTCCTCCCCTATAAATCAGGGTGCGGATAGGCGCCTGGGTTTTACAGTTTTCCATCGCCTTCCCTCCAGCCACACCCCATAAAGTAACTTCTCAGAGAGCCCCGCCCTGTCTTTGATCAGTCAATCTTCTAACTGCTATCATCCAGCATTTCCTGAGCCTTCCTGCTAAGCCAGCAAGCAGTGCTGGGCTCAGTGCCTCACACCCCCAACAAAGCTCTACACCATTACTATCCCATCCCACAGCTTGGGAAACAGGCTGGGTATTTCACAATATAAGAAGAGATCCTGGGATAAGAACCCAGAAAATGTGACCCTGAAGCGCTGCCTCTTTTCATTCCCTTTTCGCCATCTCCACCGCCTCAGACCTGGTCCATGTCCCCATCATCTCTGGCCTGAGCTCTAGCCTCAACCTCTTCCTGACCTCCCAGCTGCTTGGTTCTGATGCATTCTAGGAGTGTGCCACCCTGGCATTCTAGGAGTGTGCCACCCCTGCTTAATTCCCTTCCATGGCCCCACTTGTCCTTGGGCTAATGCTTATGCTCTCGTGGCCCCGCTGCTGGGCTCCCATTGAGCCAGCTCTGGTCTCATCTCCCGGAAAGACCTGAGACAGTGGCCAAGGCCAGCTGGATGCACCCATACACCCCACCCCCACTGGTCACCTCCAAGCTGTGCTCCCGCCTCTCTCGCCGCAGTAGCAACAGCTCCTCGTGGGTTGCCTGTAGCCTGCCCTGGCCCTTCTCCACCTCCTCACGCAGTCCTCGGATCTGGGCCTCCAGGTCCTGCCGGCGACTCTGCAGCATCTGGTTCTAGGGAAAGGCCTCAGCTGGAGGGGAGGTGCTGGGCTAGCTCCCGATTGCCCCCAGCCCAGCTTTCCTGGCTCCACGGGCCCCCAGCCCTAGCTGGCACTCACCTCCCCCTGCAGACTTTCCAGTCGTGTCCTCAGCTCTGCCCTGGCCAGGGCCTGGGCCTGGCACTGCCCCCGAAGGCCATCTAGTTCCTTCTGAAGCTCCTGCTCAGTCTGGGAGGCCTGGTGGTGGTGGTTGGGGGCGAGAGGGGAACAGTGGAGACCTCAGGCGGCCAAAGCCTCAACACCAATCCCAGGGCACCCACCCCCCAACTGGGACCCAGGAGACTGGATGGGTTAGGGCTGTCCCACCTGGGCCAACTGCTGGCTGAGCCGCAGGTTCTGCTCACTGAGTTCCCTGAGGGCCTGGGCTCGTTCCCGTCCACTGTCCTGCTGCTCCGAGCGTTGTTCTCCAAGCTGGGCCCGCAGGGCCTCCACATCCCCCTCCAGCTCCACAGCCCTGGCCTCCCACTCGGCTCCCCGTGCTGCCAGGCCCCGGCGGAGCTCGTGATTCTCCTGCTGCAGCCGCTGTGGGGCCAGGATAGAAGGTCAGAGAGAGGGAGAGATGAGACGTACAAACATGAGAGCCCCAGACGGAGAAACAGACCTAAAGAGTTTGAGGGAGTCTGAGACAGGGAGGGAGCAGGCAGAGAACAAAAGGCAGATTCAGAGAAAAGGAGAGCAGGGTGGGGCACAGTAGAGAGACGTTTCCAGGCCCGACAGGAGGGGCTGACCACCCCGCCTCTGGCCATGAGGGGGGGCTCCCTGATGCCCACTCACCTCTGGCTGCTGCCTGGACTTCTGGACCCGATGTTGCAGGCGCCGTTTCTGGCGCCTGAGTCTGGCAGAATTTAAGCCCCGACCCATAGTCTCACACAACTAGGGGCTCTGGAGGTTGAGCTTCTGCACAGCCTCTGCTCAGCCCCTCTCCCCCAGCTCCTCCCAGCCAGCTCCCTCTAATTAACCCTGGCCAGCCCCTCCTGGGCCCCACGCCTCTGCCCACCCTCTCCCAAACCTGTCCAGCGAGTGGGAGGGCAAGCCTGGCACACCCAGATACCCAGCTTGGGGAGGCAGGCAAGTCAGCCCCACGCTCTAATTATCGAAGCGGGAAAGTGCTGCCAGCCACAGTTGCTACAGTTATTAGCAGTACTCCTGCCAGGCCGTGTGCGACTTCATTTAATCCACTGGAGTTAGAATCGTTAACGTCCTCATTTTACAAACGAGAACACAGGCTCAGAGAGGTAAGATGCCTTGCCAAGGACACAGTGAATTAGTGGAGCAGGGATCCCAGCCCAGGCAGCCGGGTTTTTAACCCAATGCTGTGGGGGCAACACTTCTCCAGGATTAAGCCCACAGGATTGGGGTCCAATGGTCTTGGCTGGTGCTCAGCTCTGCTGCTGCTTTGTGGTCAGGCAAGTCCCTTAATATCACCATGTCCCATCCATCCATCCATCCATCCATCCATCCATCCATCCATCCAATATTGCCTGAGCTCCTCCTGTTCTGGGGTCTGGCTGTCGGCAGCAAGCCAGAGCACAGCGTTCCCCGCCTCAAAGAGCTTGCGTCCAGAGGTCTTAGGCAAACAGACACATGCTTGAACTAGGTGTTTTGGAGGGACAGTAAAGGCTGTAAAGAAACCCTGGAAAGTAATGAAGAGCAGGGTAGGGTGGAGGCTCCCTAGGTAGGAAGTGATGTTTGAATGGACTC